TGGTCTCGTGTCCGGTCTTGTGACTGATCTTGTGACTGGTCTTGTGCCCGGTCTTGTGTCTGGTCTTGTGAAGGTCTTGTGACTGGTCTTGTGTCTGGTCTTGTGATGGTCTTGTGCATGGTCTTATGCACAGTCTTGTGCACGGTCTTGTGCATGGCCTTGTGTTTGGTCTTGTGAAGGTCTCGACTTCAACACTGCATTTTGTGCTGTATACATGAAGGCCTTGTGGACAAAGGAGCCGCGCGAAGTGTCCGACCAGCAGCATGAAGAGTTCTACCAGTTCCTGACCCACAATTCCTACGACAAGCCACGCTACACGCTGCACTACAAGACTGATGCACCGCTCAACATTCGCAGCCTGTTCTACGTCCCCAGCAGGCCCCCTGCCATGTGGGAGCTCAGTCAGGACCACTCGGGGGGTGTGGCTCTGTACAGTAGGCGGGTGCTTATCCAGCAGAAGGCAGACAAGATACTGCCCAAGTGGTTCCGATTTATTCAAGGTGGGTCACGTCCTGGTCTTGTAACCAAGGCTACAAAAGTGTGTTCCCTCTTTCAGTTTGTGGATTTATATTACTTTTGTCTATGGGTCTACAGGGAATGAGGCAAACATGGCTGCATCATGGTAAAGGTCTCTAGACCAAACCGCCCTGAGCCGAAGTGCACCCTCACTGACGAAAAAAGACTCAGTTTTTTAACTGGGTTCTAGCGCGCGTTCAAAGTGCACGCGAAGACCACACATTCTAGACTGAAATCATTGCGCGTACTCATCGTGCTCCGCGTCAAATGCACATAAACTTACACACCTATGCGATGCGTGAGTCCCAAAGAACTGTCAGTTTCATTTAAAAACACGCCCTCTTTTGTTCCTGCTCGGAGCAGTGCAGTGGCACCGTACTCGCACGCACATCCTTCCGCTTGACGAGCAAGGCATTTGGCAAATCACGATGCCCTATTGGTCGAAGAGGCATGCAATGTGACAGTTGTGCCACCGCGGTAATGCCTTCCAATTACAGTCGTCTAGTTACGCTCTATAGAACTACCACGACCCTGTTGAGATGTTTCATGGTCAGTTATATGACCCTTAATTTTACATTCTGATCAGAGCAATGCAGAAGATGTATAAATTCAGAAGTTTTCTTCATGACATGTTAACAGGAGCGCAGCACAAGAACTGTACGCTCACTTGCATGACTTGTGATGCAAGATTTGGGGTCATAATTTTTTGTCTCTGCTCTTTTTTTGGTAAATTAGGTGTTGTAGACAGCGAGGACATCCCACTAAACCTGAGCCGAGAGCTACTGCAAGATAGCGCCCTCATCAGGTCAGTAATGTCCATAGAGCTACATGTGCGCACGTAGCCCATTGCTTCCAAATTGGTTCCGTCTTATTACATTACATTTCGACGAACATATGTATGAATTTACTACAGTGGTGGGGGCCGGGTGACATCAACACTGTCAGAGAGCTCTAAGGCAGTGTCCCATATGAGTCTCAAGTGTGGTGCACAGGGCTGTGTGTAAACTTTAATTGGCTATGGCTTGGTGTTTTACACAGAAAGTCTATGGCCAGTGGCTATGGCTGCTCGCAATATGCTGATGTCATGAGCATATACATGTATGTATATGTGAAAGCAGTGTGGGCACCAGTTAATGATATGAGAAATTAAGGACCTCACAGCTAATGCACGGATGATTTACAAGCAATGAGGGTCATGCGCTCTTAGATGCAGTGGTCACATGATCATTCTGGGCCAATGGAAAGACAGTTTTCAGGATGGTGATGTGACAACATTTTACATGTATTTGACCTTTGTATCCAACCAAACACCATTTACTTCATTGGCATGTTAAAATCAATACTCTTCGATTGAAATCCATCCTGGGTGTGGCAAGATACGCCAACATCTGCAGCGTTTCAAACTGAAAGCATCTGGATTGTGGGATACCTGTATGTAATGTCCAGGAAGTTGAGGATGGTGATCACAAGTCGTCTTGTGCGCTTCCTGCTGGACCAACGCAAGAAGGATCCCAAGACATACGAGCAATTCTTCACGGAATACGGGACGTTTCTACGGGAGGGTATCATCTCATCTAGTGAACAGGCTGAAAAGGTTTGTACGTTTGCATGTCATGAATATGCATGCATTGTTATCCATTCAGTGTCAAGACACAAAACCGGGGTTCTAGATCTTCCCAACTTTGTAAGTCAAGTAAGTCAAGTTGGGACACAAAACAGAATTTGGTGTGAAGTAGTTGAGTGGTTATACTTTGGCTTTGCGTCGGGCTGTTGTAATGCCATTCTCAGCAGAGGAAAACTTTAGTCGCATTTTATTTTCAATGATTTGCACACTGGATGAAATACTTGTTTGACTTTGGACTTTCTTGTTAGTGCTTGCTACAGTTGAACCTCATTAATGACAGGTCCTCGGGACTTGGCAAATTACCTTGTATTATCAGGAATGAAACCAATGAAAATCAAAGGACTGGGACCTAAAAATTCCCTTGCCACAAGCAGAATCTTGTATTAACAGTGCTCTTATTAACGAAGTTGTACTGTATTTGTTTGTGAAGACATTAGGGAAGAAGGCAAGAGCACACCAACTCGTGTTTCATTTTGTTGTTTGTACTATCAAATCACGAATAGTGAAATGCATTTCAGTTCAAGTGCGTATCTCTGCAAAGATTCAGTGACGTCACATTCGCTTTGCTTTCACCCATGCATTTGCCTGAAGTGCGAAATGGCCTTTACAGGTCCATTTTGGAAAAAAAAGCAAGGCAAACTAAAGTATATTTTGTTTCTGTGCAGGAGGAGATAGGCAAACTCCTCTGCTTCGAGACTTCGGCCCAGTCAGCTGGAAGCCTAACCAGCCTGCAAGACTACGCATCTCGCATGAAGGCCGGCCAGCGCAATATATACTACATATGTGCTCCGAGGTAGGCGGCAGAAGTAGTGACGTGACCAAATGGCTGAGCTTTAGTTTGTGTTTCAGAGGAGTAACATGTGGGTTTTAAAGTAGCTGCTCTCGTGAACCGATTGTCTGCACATACGTACATGTACTGTACATTTATACTTTACAGGCGTGATGATAATTGCTTGTATCGTTACAGTATAACAGATGTCACAGTCCAGTCCTTGTAGACTTTTGTGACCATCCCAAAACCAGGCTGAAATAGGTAACTTTACAACGCTAAAATAGAGGAACTTCCACTCTTCAGATTTCATGGGAGTTTTACGGCTATCATTACCTGTAAGAGGCTTACTGCAGAGAGAGTTTCGATTTAAAATGGATCACTTTTTAAGTGTGCCAAAAGACTGAAGTAGAGTGATTGCCCAATATCAAAAATACTGACTTTGGCCTGGTTTGGGGATGGTGGGTCAAATTTTATTGGCTTGTTTTCTGAGCTTTAAGCTGATGTCTTTATAGTCAGATACCTCAGAAAGGGAAATAGATCATGCTAGTACATTTTGCCGGACTACCTTTTCGGCCTTATTTGAAGTACTTTTCACACATCTGTCAAAACTGTATCGTGTATTAGTGTTGCCCACGCAGAGTATGAAAAGGCCTCCCTTTTTAGTGTGTTGAAGACACGTATTTTGTGTCAAAAGCTGTGGCAAAGTTAGTCTGAACTTTCTCCAAAATTTGGCTTTCTGTACAAAATGGAGGCCAGTATTTGTAAAAATAAAAGAAAAGTCCGCCTTGCAGTGTTCTCACAATATTTTAATATCGCCATTTCTCAATCAACTTCGGTGCTGGTATAAATAGCCGGGAGTTGGCCGAGTCATCGCCGTACTTTGAGGCCTTCCAGCGTCAAGGCCATGAGGTGTTGTTCTGCTACGCCGAGTACGATGAGCTGACCATGCTGCAGCTGCGGGAATTTGACCGCAAGCTGCTGACCTCGGTGGAGAGCGAGATGGCCGTGCAGAACGCTGGCGCGGAGACCAGCGACACGGAGACAGGTAATCAATCAAATGATTATTTTGTCAGGTTTAATTCAGTGGACAAATCAATTTGTGAGTTGTCAGGGCGTTCACCTTTTTTGAAAATATTTTTTTACTACCGACAATACTGTCAAAAGCTACTACATACGTGAAAGTGATGTGTTGTCAAGAGTGCCTAAACTTGGCTTCGTTTTCATTTGCTCATGATGTCTTTTAGTCGAAGGCAGCCTGACGGAGGAGGAATCGGACTCTCTCATCACCTACATGAAAGATGTCTTAGGCACCAAGGTGGCTAATGTCAAGGTGGGTTCCTGCAGGCACTCGTAATGCAGAAATTCCACAGAAGATGGTATTGAATGCCAGTTCCCATGACATCTCTGTATGCTCAAGTGCAAATCCTGAATCGAGTTTTTTTTGGGGGGGGCAAGATTTTCATTCTTTTATGGGGGCGTGCTAAAAGATTTTGACCTTTTTGCATGTATCAATTTTGGCCCTTTTGAGGGGTGAAGTTACATGTAGGCACCTTTTACACACTTTTAAAAGGAAGGAAATGAATACACCAAAAAAATCACCTTTCTCATTGTTTTATTAAAGGAAAAAACAACTTGTGGCACATTTTTGGGGGAGGGGTCATGGCCCTGATAACGTCCCCCCCGGGATCCTCTCTTGTATCTATATGCTGTGTATCTTATCCCATATTGGGAATTGTAGTTTGCTCATGAATGGCTGTGCACGTGCATACTTTATGTAGCTCCCACTAGCTCTGTACTGGGTAATTGGTTGTATTTGACAGTAAATGTGGTTCCCACAAGGTACTCAAATACAGCACTGACTTAAATGGGTCGCACAGTTCCCGTGCTGACCGTGCATGTATGTGCACACCCATATGCCCTCTCTGCCCCCAGGTGACCCAACGTCTGGCCCAGCACCCTGCCATGGTGACGGTGGCCGAGATGGGGGCGGCGCGTCATTTCCTGCGCACCGCGCTGAAGAATCGCAGCGAGGAGGAGAAGCTGCAACTGCTCCAACCCACGCTGGAGCTCAACGGCAGGTAGATGAGAGAGTTTGGCTACAAAAGTCCATCTGTGTTTAAAGCTTTAACTTTACACAATGAAATATCTGAAGGGATATTACTCCCCGTGTAGGAGGGGATCAAGAAGGATGTTATTTCCAAGGATGGATTTGTGCCGGGGAGATGTTATTTAATTTTGGATTATTGCCCGCCCGACTTGTATTTTAACACTGTATACTCAGTGTTTGCCCCTGAAAGCTTGTGAAAAAAAAACACAAGCTTACTCGGGTGGGACTTGAACCCACGACCTTCTGCTTAATAGTGCAGACATCTTAACCACTCGACCACCGAGCTTGCCAGTTTTTCACAAGCCTTCGAGGGCAAGCACTGAGTATACAGTGTTATAATACATGTCGGCAGGGCAGAATGTAAAATTACTTCACGTCTCCCTGGCGCAACTGCATCCTTGGACATACATGTACATGGAGTTGTTTGCGGTACCCACTGTTAGATCTTACTTAAACCAGCTAGCCGACACCAGCAAGTTCGGTGGTCGAATGGTTAAGACGTCTGCACTAGTAAGCAGGAGGTCTTGGGTTCGAGTCCCACCCAAGTACGCTTGTGGTTTTTTCACAAGCCTTCAGGGGCAAACACTGAATATACAGTGTTATAATACATGTCAGCAGGGCAAAAATACAAAATTAAAGAAGGATGTTGTATTGATGTACAAGCAATTTCAGTGCCAAATCCTTAACTAAATGCTGATTGAAAACTGACTTCGTGTACCGGCATGTAGAGTTTTCCACTTTTATTGGCCTATTTCATTGGAAATGCTGTGAGCAGTACCTCACTGAGAATTTGTCTCAATTCTCAGATCTTTGGATTTTAAAAAAATGGTTCTTGTTGAAGCCAAATTGCTCTTTTCTAAAAAGGGAAGATTGTTTATACTGTTTTCTCCTTCGGTTTTGACGTTTTTATCGTCAACATTTATGTCTGGTTTCTAGCCACCCCATTGTGCAGAAGCTGTTTGCCCTGAAGACCAGCGAGCCAGCCTTGGCCAGACTACTCAGTGAACAGGTGAGACATTTATACACCAAGAGCTGAATCAATTTGCTGGGGGTCAAATGTTCAAATGGGATGATTTAGGCATCATGGCAACCTCAGAAAAAAAAATTTCCTTCACCCGATAACCTCCATATCATTCAGAAGCTACTGGCATATTTGAAAGATTTTGATGGATTAAGGAAGATAGAGTACAACTAGGTTTCCTTATAATATATGCAGCTTGATGCCTCTTGTAGGTTGAGGTGCAAGTGTTTGCTTGTACACACATATCGCAGATGAAAAGATCAGATACAGCAAGAGATGAATTTTATTATTGGTTTATTAAAAACCTGCTCATTGCAGCCCGATGGCTGAATTTAGAGACAGTTTACAAACATTAAAATATAAACAAACTGGTACAGACTGAAATAAAAAAATTAACAATGAGTAAAATTACAAATATGAACCACATACAAAATTTATCCATAAAATACAGAATAAAAGAGGTCAGCTAAAATATTACATATAAGACAAGGACACAGCAAATGCACAAAAAACTAAACACAAATCCAACTAAACATTGATGCCTTTTGAGAGAAATCACAAGTAAAAAAAAGACACAAAGGCCACATTTGTACACAAATGGGCACTATCCATTCCACTGCTATCACAAGACCTCGCTTGGAGTTTATTTGAAATGAAATCCCTAAACATTTAGGAAAACCCCAATCTGTGATGAGACAGTGTTTAAAGGTGGTCATGCCTATCGTTGTGCAGCCATTGCACGATTTGGCTACCGTAGATGCTGGAGTTAGCTTCATCAAGTGCAGGGCCCACACACAGACAGAAACTACTATCGTGTGCCTTTGGGTCGTTCTATAAATTTTGAGTCATTTTTTTCATGACCTCTGCCACATTTGATTTTTGAAAAAATAGGACGCTTTCTCTAATTTCCAAGGTTAATAAGTAATGCAAACGTAGGATGAAGCTAATTTTAACATTTCCACATCACTACAGATTACAAATCACTACAGATGTCACATGGACAGGAAAATGTCAAACACTTGTTGACCCCCCCCACCAATTTATAGAATAACACGATTGTGTTTAATTCAGGTGTACGACAACGCCATGATTGCAGCCGGATTGGTGGATGACCCTCGACCGATGCTGGGCCGCCTAACTGCATTCATGGAAAAAACGCTGGAAAAATACTAAAAAAAAAAGAGGGACGGCTGTGACTTCCTCCTCTCTGTGCCAGTGGGCCGGCATATCCCAGACAGTATACTTTTGTTTTTAACTATTAAAGTTTGGTCTCAGAAATGTAGACCATTTCGGTGGTGATGCAAGTCTGTAGTTACATCAGTGCATGCGTCATTCGTTGGCCATGGGGACGTTGGCACAGACCACTGGGGAGATTATAAGTATTTGCCAAGTTTTTGATGCATTTTTATAACAAACTGAATGTATAAAACATTTGAGGGACTGAATTCCTGACAGACTGTGGCACATGAGCTGGGATTGTTTTTGTGTCTGGTACATACGGTCGCACCGTGGCCCGTATAACTCTGTCCATAGGTCCAGATGGGAAAAGTAGAGGGGCGGGTTTCCTGGTTTCACCAGAATTAGGCTCAGCCCACTGCACCAGGAATGATAACAGACGAATTTTGATGAAGTCAAAATCTCAACTTTTTTTTTTTTAATTGGTCAGCCAGTAGTAATTTCAATAGCCAACGTGGCCAATAGCCAGTTCTATAGTGTGCCTCCCTAAAGGGCAACATCTGATCAATAGTGGACATGAGGCGAGCAATCCCATATGACTTCAGATCCCTACTCAAATAAAGAGCCAAAAAAGGGAGCCAGCAGAAGAGCTTACCAAAAAAAAAATAAGGCTTTTAAAATTTTAGTGAGGGATTTGTTTGGGATTTTTGGCTTTGTTTCGTCTTTTGGAAGCATCTGCCTGGTTTGTACACCACATGAGATGGTGGGTCCGGGGGGAGGTCCCTCTGTGGTTAGAAATTCAAGAAAATACCTTACGTCACAAAGCAAGCAGTGACGTCCTTACTGTTTGAGGACTTTACTTCACTGAGAAACGGTCTATTTTTGGTTGTTTATTCCAAAATCCCCATCTCCAAGAAATACCAGTTTCGTAATGGTAAAAAGCACGTGGGATGGAAAGACTCAACGTGACCGATTAAACTTAATCCATTTCTGCTCCGTTCAAACATGATGGAGCCTCTTTTGAAGTGATGAATATTCTATCGACGTCCCCGAACTCTTAAGGCTGTCCATATTGAACTTTTTTTTTTCCACGTGCAGCTTGCTCACGAAGAAGATTTGGAGGCTTACCAGAAAGTCCTTCCTCAATCCCCTCCCCCATCCTTCGAAGACGCAGATGTTTCCGTGCGCATCTGTGTAAATTGAAAGCTGACCATCAAAAAATCAAGTGACAGAAATCCTCTACAACCCATCGTAGCACTAGAAAGCACTTTACACAAAGTTTCAGACTTTCATAGCACATGGCATTCAAAATGTTCTTTTGATTTTTATTAAGCAACTTTCAACAATCCAGACGCACATGGTATGTACAAGGGCTGTCATTTCAGCATTCAATTTCTGAAGTGCATATTTCAACACTATTTACATTGTAGAAAGGCACGTACGAATGTGCTGTGCTGTAATGTAGGGATTTTTGAAAAACTACTTTGTGATCGGGGAAGTTCATTAAGAAAGGGATTCCTTTGTATTGCTTCAATTTTTGTATTTGCTTCTGTAGTCATTTGTTGCTGATCCTTCAACAGCATGTGTCCTGAATAAAGGGGGAAAAGAGATGCCCGAAAATACTCATGAGAATTTATCATTTTTTTGTGTGTTCATAAAAAGTTTTTTTGGGGGGGGTAAGAAATTTTGAAAAATTCAAATAGCCTTCCTTAAGGTGAAAAATTTTAACAGCCTTTCGGAGGGATGAGGCTATACATTTTGGGGCTTTCTACACACTTTTGGTAAGAGGGAACTGAATTGAACAAAGGGTTGCCCTTCCCCACTTAAAAAGAAAAAAAAATCTCTTTTTTGGGGAGGGGTGGAACACAGCACTCTTCCTCCACCCCCAAGCAAATGCTACAGTTTTGTTGACATTCTCTTTCATAAATAAAGATCTTACTTTTTGGAAGACTAGGCAGAATAATGAAAAAAAAAGGATTCCATATATCCACATGGGCATCATGGACTCGGTAGGCCTGTGAGGAAGATTCATATGGTCAATGAAGTACCAAATATTGGAACTATTTCGATTCAAATGTTTGTTGATGCAATACAATATTGACAAAAAGGGCAGGGATCAAACTTAGTACCAGCTCGCTGCCTTGAAGCGTAATTAAAAAAGAATTTCCTACTTTTGTGTTGTAAACTAATGTGCAAACTAATGCACAACGACTGTGATGACTATGCTCTAAATGACTGTCTACAGGTTTGGCTGATAAAATAGCACCTAACCAAATATTCAATTACATTTCAGGTCGAATATTTGTGTGAGTAGTTTTTTGATGCGACTCGGACTTTTTTAATACATGTTCATGCAAACCGCAGTACATCCCCAAACCTTTACGGACCTTTTCTCACGGGGAATTATTGACAATATTCTCGGAATGAAATCACATCTTTGTTCTTGTTTCATGCATACATGCATTTGGTCATCCCACCTGATACTTGAGAATCCAAAAAAGAAAGGATTCAAATCAACAACTACAAAACTTCCTTTGTGCAGGATACATGTGTATGTATGTTGATTTCAAATCCACGCTCACTGTTTTTAAGGAAGTGAGATCTTCAAATATGAGTACAATTGCACAATATTTCTTCTTTAAATGGCAAGGGTGTTAATGTTCAGGGTTTTTTATAGTACATACGCGTCTGTTGGAGACTGCCTTGAATATTTGAAGTTCGTACATATACAAAGGACATGTACACGCAGACACTTGTCCGAAGGAGACGGTCTAGCAGACTACAGTATAACATTAAATGATAAAAACAAAGGTAAAAATGAACTCTGTCATCCATACCCAGCAAGGAATGAGACCGAGGGGTACCCCCCAACATGTCCAATCCCTATACACA